CCGAGTTTCCCACTAGCTTCAAGTCGTTCTAAAAAAAAAAATATTTAATTGTTTTTGATGACGCTTTCTAAGTTTCTAATTTGAACCATATGTTTATTTTCACCAAATTAAAAAGTTAATTAACGAATTTTGATTAATTAAGCAACCTATCGCAAAAAAAAATTACCCAGATAATGTCCCCCTGGCAGTATAACCCACCTGCACAAACCGCATAAGTGCATATTTTACAGATTTTTTGTAATAAATCTCTTCGAATTAAAAACAAAAATCACCCGGTATAAGGCCATACAGGTTGTGGCTTCCTGTAAGGAATCTCTTAGGACTTTCTTTTTTAGTGCATACGGGAGTTGATTAGTTTCCCCGCAGACTATACAGCAACTGGTTTTTCATACAAAGAACCCATATATGAATAAACAGAAACTGCCCTCCTGTAACACCTCCTATAAGGAACTTGTTTCCCATACAAAGAACCGATATAGGAATAAACAGGAAATACCTTCCTGTAACACTTCCTGTATAACATTCATATGTTTTTTTTTTCAATAGGTATGTCCCCCACTCCTGTACCCTAAGCCCTTTCACCGCGGCATTCTTTAATGCAAAAAAGTGAAATGCACGTTCCTACCTACGTACCTCCACTCTCTTGCCCGTGTAAATACATTATATAGGGCACAAACCTCCATCTGGATGCCCCAAAACTGAACGTGTTGATAGCACTCTTGGGGATGATCCTTTATTATCGTTTGTATGTATTTGCAGGTTCCTTCGATTGGAAGTTATTAATCCAGGAACTATGCGTTACTGAGTTATGAGTAAATTTACGGAGTACCCAAGAAAGTTTGCTATTACCTCTTACTGAAAACACATTAACTGACAGCAGAAGTTACGAGCACGCAGCCTAGATGTTTACAGATTTTATTCGATAATTGATATAACAAGAAATTTTTCGCCATTTCGTCATAACTTCATTCGTTATCGAGGCTGCTCGTCAAGGACTGAAAATATAGAAAAAAAAGGACTAAAAAGAAAAGGGTTAATATCATCTGAACAATGTGAATGACCGCGGCGGACCTTAGATATCGGGCGTAAGGTAATCATTAGCGAATTGATTGCAGAAAGTTTACTAACTTTTAAAATATTAACATTAGCTGTAATATTTGAAAGAGGGATTTGCTGCAGGTTTTCAAGATATATCACAGCTGCTGTAGAAATCCGACAACTGCCTTTCTTTTCCGCGCTGTTGTTTTAGAAAGCTTAGGCCGAGCAGAGACTGAGCTTTCGAAATCAAGTCCCAAAAGAGCAGAGGTCGAGTGTAAAGTCAGCCACCTACGCAGGTCCGGGTAGCCAGTCTTCACGAGTCCACCTGATAGCCTTGCCTTATCGGACAGTCGCGTAATGTCGAAAGGCGGGTCACATTCTGCTCTCACGGACATGCAGCTTTCGCTACTTTTTTTACTTATTTTCAGTGTGGCGACCTGTAGACAGCCTTACTTTATGAGTAAGAAGCGCAGAGATTATTTTTTTTTAAATATTTTAAGAAACTGCATAGCATAATCTGGACGACAAAATGCAGCGGTTGTTCAGGAAGATTTGAAATCTTAATTAGTGAAGGCCGGGTAATTGTGTTGCAGAATATCACATTTATTTTGCTCCATGACGCCCGCCGAAGTCGATAAACTCATCGTGAACTGATCTTTCTTTTATTTCAAATGATCTTCGTTTTAAGTTATTCTCCATCGTTTGTGAAATGCCAGCAATAAAATAGTGTGACCGCAACCTTTCATGTAGTGTTACGCAGCAGTTAAATTTCACGCAAACGTTTCTGTCTTTGAACTAAATATAAGTTAATATTGAGCTGCGCGCTGTAGTGTGCTCAGCTTCGCCTGGATTATAGCAACAATTCGGAAACGCACGTCTGGGGCGTTTTCAGACGCAACCCACCACAGCTTGCAAATGAATTAATAAAGATAATTGCAACCGCCCCCCCCCCCCCCTCCTTTTCACTCCGAGTTTACGCGATACCTTTCACCTCAAAGTTCAGTAGTTCAGTGAATGCATCATATAGGGCCATGTTATTTAAATATTCTGAGAAGATATAAATGAGTCGCTTCAAAGAGTTAAGATGGAGTTATGCGGGGTTTAGACGGATGCAAAGTGTATTGATCACCAGTTCCCTTCTCTGCCACATTACCGTTCACAACTGAGAGCATTGGCATGTATCAGCTGCTGCGAGAGACGGAGGGCATAAACCTTAGCCGATTGCTGCACAAAATCGACCGGCTTATTCATGGGCAGCGCACTGGGATTCAGACCGAGAGGTGCTTGAATAGGGAAATCTTTTATTCGGTTCCGGGAGGGGAATGAGCACTTTTTAGAGTAGTTTTGGGTTAGTTTTTATGTTCATTGTTTTGCTTGTGTTGCCATGGTAGCTGAACGTTTTGTGCTGACATACCTTGCACTAGAGTAATTGCGGCAGCACGAACGGACGGATTGAAAAGCGACCTTAAATTTTTTTGGAAGTAGTGGGTACCGTCATTAAGCATTCCATGTTTAAAACAAATAGGCAAAAAAAAAACATTGGTGGACGGCAATCGGAAACTAAAATACCTGTGAATTTCTTCCCGAGGATTAATTCCAGAAAAAATACCATAGTATACCTACATACGTCAACCCTACAGATATTATTCTGACATGTCATATGAGTAAAGGATACATAAACTGTAGCAGTATAAATAACTATAAATACGATTAATATTTATAGAAGGTTGTTCACCTGAAATGCTAGAGCAATTGATTTCAAATTGAATATTTGTTCACGAAAGCACTTCACCAGCTGTGGCCTATCTCGAAGAGTTGAAATAAATTTGAAAATATTATTTGAAATTTAGAATGTTTTATATAAAACAGGGAGCATTATATAGATATTTTAAGAAAGAAAAACTTCATACCTGATGCAAGAAATTTTAAACGTTACCCTGTCAGCTTATGGATGGATTTGGAGACGATCTCGAACCTCGAACAATTTTCGAGAAGAATCAGTGCCAACACTATGCATTTTTAAGCCGATTTACGCTCCGTGGTTTCAGTTCACATGCGGGCATTGTGCTTCACTTATCAAAATTAAAAAAAAAAATCTGGGCATGCGGCGTCAATAAAATTTGAACATTCGTGTGTTCATGCATAATACTATTGAGGATAATAACCAGGTATTTCTCTTGGCACTAATGAAACGTTAGTTTCAGTTTACATGCCACTTATATGTTCTTGTCCGTTCATTTTCAACTGGCTACATAGTACCGCAGTAACTTAGGAGAGGGGATAAATCAGTTTCGCCTCCAAGGCTCTTACATTTTTTTTATTCGGTAATGGAATTAAAAGTTGTTACCTTCGAATGAAACTATAGGATTTCATATTTCCCAAGAGCACATAACTTTTCAATATAGTCCCCACCGACGGCCATGCGCTTGCGCTACCGATGCAGTACTCTCAGCATGCAGTCGTAGATGATTGAGGGCGGCTGTTGACGACACCAACGGGGCACGGCATCGGTAACCTTGCCACCGGACGCAAGCCGCGTATCTTTCAGATGTTACTTTTCCTAGAAAGCAGCCAAAATTCTGACGGAGCGAGTTCCGGGCTGTAAGGTGAATAAGGTAAACAATCTTGAAACTGCAGCTCCTCCAGCCAACGCCGCTCTAAGGGAACTCTAGTCGCCATCAATCACCTACGTCGACACGCGGAGAGTAGTGCACCGGTGGCACAGGTGCATCTCCGCTGGAGGGAACGATATTGAAAATATATGTGTTCCTGGAAAAGGGAGTGCATTTGAAATTTTAAGTTGAATATAACATCTTTTAATTACATTACTGAATAAAATAATTTTCAGGCTAAGACGCAGACGTTATTTTTCGCCCCTCGTGTGTGTGACTTATTTTAATTTGCATCAATTTGAGACAACATTGAACATACTTTGCAAACAGAATACTCTGGCTTCATTGTGGGGCATATCTCTCATAATCTACATGAATAAGCTCAAACCTGAGTGAAACTCCTGTGTTGCTTGTTTTCTTGCAAGCAACATTTTTACTGAGGCTTTTTTCGCGGTATAGGTCTTTTTTTCTCAGAATGCAATCCAGTATTGCACCTGCTCCTCTAGGAGAGTAGCGAAATGTCGCTCGACGGTGCCCCTCACGGTTATAATGTCGTTGTATTGGGGGTAAAGGACGAGGTATTGCATCAATTCCAAGAATGTAATCTTTATTTTCACGGGATACGTTAATTCTTAATTAAACTTGCTGTTGCACCATATTTCGATACAATAAAGTTACAGAAGAGTTCGATATCCGCTTGACTGTGTCGAACACACAAATATAAAAGTTAAATGTATATATATGAATGTGTTTTCCGATATAAATACGCTTATTCATTCGCGACGATTGAAGAACACACTAATACATTTCAGAGTCATAAAACAAACATATATCTCAAAACTAATGGGAACTTTTTCTATCGTCTTTTTTTAAATTTGGCAAGAATTTTACCCAGATATCTACTAGACACAATGCTGGTAGCATCAAAAGCAAAATGTACTGCTGACGTTATGTACTTCTTTAGGCAAGAAGGAGCAATGCGACTACAATATTACACCTTTAATATATTTAATGTCCCTTCGGCGTTAAAAAGTTTCCACGTTACTACCATACACACCAAGCACGCATTTCATAAACCCTAATGCATCTGTCACCAGTCCGTACTACGCTAAAAAAAACGAAGATGTGTTTCTGGGGTACGTTTTGCAGCATTTGGACGTTTCTTCGATAAAGGAACTTTTGATTAATATTTTAGGGGAACCTCGTTCCCTCAGTCGGCGACCAGTTGTAGCTGAACGAGGTCACCTTGCTTCTCTGTACTCGAAAGAAATGCTATGAGATAAATCAATGAGAGTTAATTTAAAGCCTTCAAAACCATTTATATATTTTATTTGCAATGCTTCGTTGTAGGAGGCTGACTTGGCTCTCGCCGATTTGACCATCACCTACTCACGAGACGAAGCCGTGGACTTCACGACTCCCTTCATGACGCTGGGCATCGGCATCCTTTTCCGCAAGCCGCAAGAGAACCAGGCTCTGCTGTTCTTCCTGTCACCTCTCTCGGTGGACGTTTGGTTGTGCATGGCACTGGCCTACTTGGGCGTGAGCCTACTTCTGTGCCTGGTGGCTCGCTTTAGCCCCGCCGAGTACTACTACAGTGAAAATACTCAACTGTGCGACCATCATAGCGGCTGTCCTTTGAGGAACCGCTTTACGCTTCTCAATAGTCTTTGGTTTACCATAAGTGCCATTATGCAGCAAGGGTGCGAGAACTCGCCTAGGTAAGTAGCATATTTTTTTGTTGTTTTTATATGCGGGTGCTTGTAAAAGGGCGCGTCGCTCCATATTCGTGCCTTGTCTAAAGATAAGAGTCATTCAGCTTTTTTTTTTAAAGTTGTTACTATGAGAAAGAAAAACAAATAATTGATTAGATCATTTTCGATCACGTTGCAGTAACCTGAACTGGAGTAGAAAGAAAACATTAAAACGTAGATGGGACAACAAATAGGAAGAACGACTTCGCCCTCTCTATTTTGTGTTCCTTCTGTGTTTTGAGTTTTTCCTTTCCAACTAAGCCTCGTTTTAATTCAAAATAGTTAAAATTCATCAGCTCGTCTGCACACTTACTATATTTTTTTCTGAGCGTTTTCAACACGATATATTGTTATGATGAGAAGTCCGTTATTGTTTTTGGTTTCATGCTCTGTGTTGATTTCTTGTGGGAAAAACGTTCATCTTCGATTTCTAGCTTGCATTGAACAATGGTTAAACTACTGCGAAATCACGTTTAGAGCGCCAAAAGTTCTAAGCTGCCATATCGCTTTTACGTAGCACACATGGGGAATAATCAAACTGTCAAGAGATCAGAAATGTTTAAATAAAATCTAGCACTCATATGATATATGTACTTTTAGGGAAATGAATGAGAACACTTAATTGAGAAAAACCTTGTATTAACGAAGACCTGATCGTATGCTCTTGTTTGCTGGTTTCAGGTCCGTCCCTGCAAGAGTGATTGCAGCCTCTTGGTGGTTCTTTTCCTTCGTGGTTATTTCGTCGTACACTGCCAACCTCGCTTCATTTTTGACACGAGAGAGGCTGCGCTCTCCTATCGACAGCGCAGAGGATTTGGCGAGACAGTCGCACATTCGCTACGGATGCGTCCGATCTGGCTCCACGGAGGCCTTCTTCAAAGTAAGTTATCGCAAATCATTCTAACATTCTTTTAACGGGCCTCTCCTGTCAGGGTTTGCAAGGTGTTGTGTCTTAAAAAGCGCCCACAGGACGCTCTCACTCTAAACGTAGAGTGCGCGCAACATCTAGACGGTGCACGCGAACCGCCGACTATCTGGTAACGAAACCGGTACTGAAGCTAAAAAAAATGGACGGGCTCCGAGACGGGCGTTGGGTAAATTTCTCTTCCAGCAGTTACATTCGACGGAAACAATTAATTATTAAAAAAAATACTTGTAACTTTTTTGGAGCGTGTAATAATTTCAATTGCAAAAAAAAAAAAAGTAGTTTGGTTGCGGAGGAACCGTGTTCGACTGGCATGAAAAAAGCGGTAATATTTATGTTAGCGCACATTAGCCTCGATGATTTCTGCCATCACATACACAAAACGTTTTAAGGAAGCAGTAGATTTCAATGTTACGGTTGCTCCGCTTTAATTTCTAAAGAGCGAAATATGTAGAATAATAGAACTTCATGTTGTTTGGAGACAAGCTGCGTGTCAAATCACTTTGATGAGCAGAAGGTGGAGGGTGAATTACGTATCATAAAATATTTCCAAACCTTACAAAATGGCATCCTTGCTGTGGGAGTCGGGAACTGATGTGACACGCTTCATGTGAATATACATACCGCAATACTGGACCAGAGAGGTTTGGAGGGGCCAGGTAATTAGGTAGATTCTTTCCATCATTGCTGCAATTGGAAAAATCTGTTCTGCGTCAGAACAAACTCTCAAACTTTTTTAGAGTTCTTCGCCACTTTATCTACAGGATGAGCCGGACGTATCGCCTGATTTGCTTCAAGATGTAAGGTAGCGTCCAGTGATCACTTTTGTTATTAACGAAAAAGTTTTTTTCTCACTTCGCAAAAGCGTTTTGTTTTGTTTTTCTCTACTAAGTAAATGTTTACAGCGACAGCTGTTAGACGAATCCTCGCCGGGACAGGATGAGCCGGACGTATCGCCTGATTTGCTTCAAGATATAAGGTAGCGTCCAGTGATCACTTTTGTTATTAACGAAAAAGTTTTTTTCTCACTTCACAAAAGCGTTTTGTTTTGTTTTTCTCTACTAAGTAAATGTTTACAGCGACAGCTGTTAGATGAATCCTCACCGGGAAATTGCGCGGTTGTCCTTCGTGAACACCCCCGGTGACGTCATAAGCTACATAACCGCCTTGAGCCGCCGCCGCTGAGTTTGTGAGGAAACGTGAATTTCCATTTATTGAGCTGGATTTGAATGAGAAACCTACGGATGACAACAATTGTTTCTTCAGGGTAAACCGTGCTACCATCTCCGGTTTCGCTGCTGTCCTCTGCCAAGCAAATATACAAATACACAAATAAGTACAATGATAGCGAATTGCGCTAGCGCAAAGCTGCTGCGCCTTTGGCAGAGGTTACGCGGTAGCGTATTGTGTTTACTTTTAGATATCTTTCGCACATCAAGATCTATTCAAGCTGTCACGTACGACAGGGAACAAACATATCACAGTTTTGTGTAACAGTGCGCTTCTCTTACTTTGGTGGGTTGCTACTTGTTTACGTGATAAATAAAAATAAATATATATTTTGTTTTACACGCCGGGTTGACATAAAAATACAAGCCCGAAATGGTATTTTTGCCCTGTTCCGTTGGTTGCAGATCTCCGTTCGTTGCCGCCTTCCCTTTGTTGCCGTTCTTTCGATTTTCTTGTTTGTGCGCTCGAGCCAAGATGCTGCTTACTGCAAAGTTTCGTCAGCTGCGGCATCCTTACCGCATCTGAACTCTGCACTTAAAATTTACCCAGATTGTGCAGTGAACACGTGCTGTGTTATTTAATTTAGAGGCAAAATATTGCAAAGAAAACAACTTTACAACCGCAAAACAATCTTAAAGTGAGTTGTATTTAGCATAAATTTAAAATGAAACAATGATTTGAGGCTGGCGCAAAAAAGCTTGGCGTAAAGCATTAAATACCTTAAAAAGCTACGCATGGCCTGAGTTTCTCAAATTTCTTAAGCATAAGTCAGCCGATCTATATATATATATTTAAAAAAAAAAAAAAACTAATTGGGGTTTCACTCGGCTAAATCCGACTTTTCACTTTTTTTCTTTTAAAGCGGGGAGGGCTTTTTTTCTGTTTACAAGCCAAGCCAGATTCATATTTCTTATGGTTTCGATCCCGAGAAGTGATTTTTATGCAGCCTTTAAATGACGCGCCTCCTTCCGTAGCACCACGGCTCGAGATATTTGAAATAAAAAAGTTCAATTTTATAATCATGCTTATGTAAAATTTTCCAGTGCCAGCATCTTCTACTGTTATGTACATTCATAAAATAATTCATGGAATAAAACTAATTTTATCATGTCCAATTACCAATGTATATCACAGATGGACATCTCTTAGGAAAACACGCAATTAAAAAAAAAGTTATGCCGTAAAACGATACAATCAGAATTATGTTTTAATTGGGAGGGGGGCGTTGGTGGCATTAGGAAAATAAATATGCCGGCTCTATGCCGCACGTCCACGCTTGACTCCACATTCGGAATCGTTGCTGGTAGAGGTTGTATAATTATGTGAATAACATAGATAAGCCATTGAAGTCGGCGGGCAACGGTTGCCACATAGCCACTACTTTGAATGTCAACAGCTAAAATTCTTTTATGCGCTTTAAAATTAAGATCTGTATTTTAACACTACAGTCAGTGGAAATTACAATGCAAGTAATGGGATCGTTTTTATTTACACCAGGTTTCCACATCCTTTGTCCTACAGGTCGCCAGGAGGAAAAAAATAACTTGCTTATCGATCCCTTCAAATAAATGCTGGATTAACGAAGACGCCGATACCAGACGAAAGGCTTGCGAAAACGACTAAATCCCCCCGTCAACCACGCCGCCCAGCGTTTCAAGGGACTGGGAGTTAGGTTTCATGCACGAAATCATGGAAATCATAGAAATGAAAAAAATGGCGTAACGCTGCCGAACCACTTCAACAAGAAACCAGAAGTACTTCCTCTTACTGCAGCCTTACTATCCATTTAACGTTTGCTCGGTAGACGCACAAATAGAAAGTTAGCATAAATTTCGCTTTAAATGTCTGTGCTCTTTTTTATTCTTGTTGATAGTGCAGGGTATTTACTGCGTCATCTGCTTCCCAGGGGTATCGGACGTTTGTATACGGAAAATGCTTTATTCCGGTTTCAGCGGTATTTAAATTTATTTTAAAAGAAGAAGCTTTTAACAACGCAAGATATATTATGAGGCAAATGCATGTTCGTTACGGTTTTGAGATGACTGGCATATTTTGGCAATGCTAGACGCAGCGAAATGATCCTTCTGCGTCATTAAGACAGTTATGCACATACATGTAGTGACTCGTTATTCTCAATTATTCGCTAAAATCTCCTCCATCATCTGTGTGTTAATTGGCCGTAAATTATTTTTTCGATTTTAGATCAGGAGATTTAAACATACCCTATGATTTCATCTATTTTTTTTTTATAAATTCAAGCAAACTTCTATATTTGCAAAAATAATATACGGCCTTTCAGCTATTATACGATGAGAGATCATTCTCGTGATTTCGACCGATTTTTAATTTGGAAGCAGAATGAAAGCAAAAAGTCTCTCCCACTGTGATGAGGATACCTAAGATTTGATGAGTTAGCGGTGACAAATACGCCTCATTAACTTTTACAAAACTTAAGAAGTCCCATTCGTCACGAGAACGCCTTTATCAAGCGGAAAACTCGCGGCGTTCATTATGCATCCATTGTAGATGTGTAAAAAATAGCAAGTACTATACATATGTAATCAATTAATTTCTAAAGTCAACTGAATTTCTACAAATAGCAAAAAAAAAAGATGACTTGGCTTTTAGTAATACCCTTTCTTAAACCGGTATTTGCATAACGAAACAGAAACCGCTTTAGTAAGATTGAATTAAAAAAATAAGAGGATTGCGAAACTAATTTTCTTTTCCTTTAGGCTTCCTCTGATCCTGCTACATGTAAAAAAACGTGATAAATGTAACGTTCACTTCCATTGAAATCATCGGTTGTCTAAAGTCAATTAAGCAGTATATTTTAGGCGATCGCATATGTGAAACCCCAGGAATACCGTCAAATTGTGGTTTTCATAATGCAAACCTTCCTGTACGCTATACTTGTATATATAAAAGCGCATAACAACGTAAATACTGCATAACATTAGTATATTTCTGCCCTCCACGAAAGGGAATACTCAGCTGAATAAAACCAATATTATTTGGTGTATAACTAGGAGGAAAAACAGAATTTGGGATATTTGAGAGATAATTATATTTGGGGTCTTCTTGCTTTACCTGCTAATGGAGCGCGATGACGAACGCACGGAGATGCCCAGTTTTACCCATACGTGGCAATTTTTGTTTGTGTTCGTCTCTCTTTTTTTTTTAAAGCTCTCATTGCCTGGAAGCACAACATTCATTGATTTTCATTAATTTTATACCGCATGTCACTGCACAAAATAATGATAGCGAAGTACGCACTAAGAGCAATAGCAGCTTCTTTTTAAAATTACGGTATCATAAATATTTAGAGAAAAGGATTGGATGGATTGAAAATTCTATCGGGTTCTATTTTCGCTGGGGTATTTGTAGTACGCATTTTGTGATTTTCTATCATTGTTAAGTATAGAAATAGCGAAGCATTTTCGTTAATAAGAACATAGACAGATTTATAATGTTAACAAAAAGCCAAACATCCTGGTTAAAAAAAACAGTAAATAATGACTCTGCCTTCGAAATGACGAAATTATTGGCGCTGTGTGTAACTGGGTAATTGGTCCTCTGCCCGAGACAGAATGATTACTCCAGGTACTGAATGAACCAAACATAATGCCGTAATAAACACAGCCATGGCTGCTGACAGGAAATACAAATAAATTTGTCAGGCGATGGGGTGACGTCTATATTCAGGTACAAACTTGCAGGGATACACTAACTGTTATATCTTGAATCGAGCTCACAGCTTGAAGCAGAGTTCTTTGAGATGTGTTCATGGACATTTGCCTTTAAGGGGAATCTCAAAGATTGGACGATACGTGAAACAAAACGTACCGCTCCAACACGTCCCAGACTCTTTCATTTGCATGTCACATACGGCGGCCCATATGGCGAGCGAGGCTCTGGGCTTGCGCGGATGCAAGTTGAACTAGTTTGAACAATTGCACCAGCTGCCGGGTTGCTCGTATTGCTCGCCTCAATATCAGTTCGAGATAAAGTCCCAGCCTCGACGGTTGTCTCCACGACTGCTGCACACACACACAGACATACACACACGCACACACAAACACGCACGCACGCACGCATACGGAGACACACAGAGACACACACACCACAGACACACACACACACATATATATATATAGAGAGAGAAGTTGCCTAGGGAATAACAATAGACTTGGAGGCAGCCGGTGTTTGTCTAGCAAACAGTGTCTCTCTTCACAGATCCTGTTTTGGAAGGAGACGGATCTCGCATTTGAGACGCATCAAGCAACCCCAGCGAGAGCCTGTGTTTTGTTAAGTTCGGCGAGCGTTTTCTGTCTTACACACCTTCATAATAGAGAAGCTTTACTGCAAGAGCTATTTCTCCACATTATTGAATTTAGGGCTAAAGAGATGCTTATTTTGCGACGCAATCTTTGTCGGCTTATAATATGTCAACTATGATCTACGCCATGACTAATATTACCTAAACGTTTCGCTCAGCTCTCTGTCATTTAATCTTACTTTTATTAAAAATGTAAAACTTACTTCACATTACCTGAGTAATGGCTATCTTTCCTGTACAGTTTCTTTCGTACTTGTCGCAATTCATTCTTATTGTGGGAGAATATTTGAAACATCACACGAAAATTTGTATTAGTAACTTATTGTTGTCATGTCAAGCAATACTGTCGAAAGCAACATATTTTCCGAAACAATTGCGCAAAAGGGGCAGCTAATCTCTTTTGCAGTTAAATAACCATATCTTTCTTAAAGCACGTCTTTTTTAATTTACAACACTAGCACTTTCTGGTAAACACATTCAAATGTTTTAACAAAAATTATCAATACACGGCGTCAATTTATATAAAGCAATAACTTTCCTCGTCCTGGTAAATCCATATCTTCCTCATTCATTATTTGTGTCCCAATAACAAGGCGGGGCAGAGGTTGGGTGGGCCGAAAATCACAAATTGATCTTGAATTAGCAAGGTTCTAATTATACGTGGAAAAGGTGCTTAAATACAGACGATTTGGAAAAAAAAAATCAGAAAACTACGACCGTGTTTCTTAATCCAGTCTCAAAATCAAAGGGTGTGCGAAACCCGAAAACACGGAGAAAGCAGAAGCAACGCCGGTTTTTTCAAAGTATCGTTTAAAAGGGTGTAAGCACAAGCTTGTACAAGTATACTTGGCTTCCTTGGTGGCGCTTTTGTTTGTTTACTTCAACCAATTGATTATCCTTTCATACTTTTTTTGTCCTGACGAAACTTACTTTTCGCTTTTAGAAATTATTACTTAGGAAAACTGGATGGGAATAAAACTTTTTGTGGGCTTGGAGAGGGGCTCCGGCACGAAGACACAGAGGTGTAGAGAAGGGGTATCTACGTGTTTTATGTTTAAGAGAGGTTTGACGGTTACATTACTTTATTGCTCTGCACGAATTCAAAGTCCTAACTTGGATGTTGGTATTGCATCCTATCTGTAGTGCATGCGTTTTATAGAAAGAATCGATACTTGATCCACCCTTCTTCCCCTTCACAAAATAGCAACATAACTTAGATTCACCAGCTAAATATGACGGGACTTCACGGCACATGACATTTCTTGTTAAGACGGCCATGGCGTCATATCTTGTCGCATCAAGCGACCCATACTAACACAAACCAGGTGATCGTCGTATGCATTCTACATACGATGACTTTGTCAGATAGGAGAAAAGGGCTGCACTTTTCAACTTCACCTTTAAATTGATATTTAATCGAAAGATTAGTGCTCCCCTAGGTGCAGCCATTTTCTCGCACTCTTATTTTTATTTGTTTTCTAAATTACACCAGTAATACAAAGACGTTACGGATCATATTGGGCTGTACAAACAAATATGTTTCAGCCAGGGGCATATCACGGTGGCTGTCGATTTAATATGGTTCGCGTACTAGGCAAGAGTGATTCCCGCTGTACGTACGTGAGTTCAAGTAGCTTATGTGTGACCTAACGCAAACAAATATTTCGCTGCGATTCATATTAAATTGAGGTATAATTATACTACGGTGTGCTTGGAGCGTATGCTGTTACCCGTTCTTTTCTCTCGTTGTCTTCTGAACAGGAGTCCAAGTCAGAGACCTACGAGAGAATGTGGCAGGCGATGTCCGGTTCTCTGGCTGACTCGAACGCGGACGGCGTGTCCAGGGTGCAGGCTGGAGGCTACGCCTTCCTTATGGAGTCCACGACTATAGAATATGTTGTGGAGAGGAATTGCCAGTTGACCCAAGTTGGTGGACTTCTGGATTCCAAGGGTTACGGCATCGCCATGCCCGCTGGTAAGACAACATACTATTGCTGTAGTGGCTATTGGTATAATGTGTTTATATCAGAACTTTTAAATTACAAAGAAATATGGTACGCTATGCCATATTCATCTCGCAATGTCTCACATGTATGTAAGACCGCAAGACGTGTTTTTTTTTAGTTTTAAGTACCGATATTAAACTATGATTTATTATCACCTATTATCCTCGTTCTATTCGTTTAAATCATCAATATAAGCACCTTGAGGAAAGCAATACCTTTCCGTTAGATAACGCGTAAGAATCACCAAATCCTGCGATACGTATTACAAAGAGCTGAGATTTGAATGGCTTTTCAAAGTTCTACAGCATGACGGTTATATTGGCGCCCTCCTTTAATGTAGGTACGAAAACCTTCGGGGCGCATATTGGAGAAGGTGAATGACTGAGATACTTTTTACCAAACACCTCTTGATAGCAGGGCCCTGTTGCTCAATTCGCGGCGTCATCTAAAAACAAAGGCCATCGTGGGGAACAAATTCAAGAACAAATCCTGCGTCATCGTTCATCAAGGACTCGTATTATCACTCACTGAAAGCGAACCCAGCCGATCGCAGTAGCTTCGCTCGTGTCCAAGCTTTGACCCTTGTTACCGCGTTTAGGCGTCACCCAAAAGTTCACTATCACGCCTTTGTGCTCTAGGAGGTGTTGGTCCACATGTACGGGAATGCGACGAGGTTAACCACAAGTCAATTTAAGCGACTTCTGTTTCACATTGTTATGTGTATTAATAATATTAAACCGAGCATTTTTTTGCCAAATTCATTGGCATCTTTTGTTGTGTCCTTGGTTTGTCTTTTGTGATTTCCCCTTGTCTGCTTACTTTGTCGTTAAAATACTGATTCTGGCAGATATTGATTTATTTTAACATTTATCTAGACCTACATTTTTTGTATACCAAATGCCTCGCAAAAAAAATGACATCCGATAGTACGTAACAATGCAGTCGCAAGAATTCGCCCAGACATATTACTACACTTGTCTGTGCTTAGGTCTCAATATTTCTTCAAATAAAACTACAAACAGCACCCAAGGGCTTCTTTTGGCTGTTCTGTATCAGATATACTCTTCCATAAAAACCACGCCAACATTATCATAATCCGCGTATTCCACATCATCAGTATCACTCATTTCTCTGCCTATTAAAAAGCACACGAAGTTTCTAGTTTTACTTTGAAGCGCTTCCTTTTCCGGCTTTCAGCTGACAACAGCGGTCGAAGACCTGCTTGCTGGCTCTTATAGACCACTGTAACAATAAGCTTCGCGCGCACTGCCATCTTTGTATACAAGGCTCTGCAACGTGTTCTGAACTTGTTCTATGGCCTGCTTTAGAGGAACATTACGCCAGGGACATGCGTCCGGTCCCCAGTGCCTCGATATTTTTCGCTCTATCGATAAGCGTTGGAAAGGTATGTAGGGCTGGCAATATATTTAAATTGATCTATAGAGCTAAACGTAAAACAAAGATATTTGTCTCATATTTTTTTTCCATAACGGAGTTCACGCGAAATTACGTGTGGCGTTTATTTAGTTAGGTGTTCCTCAGCAAAACGCTATATATTTTAAAACCGTTCGTATTACGGAGCGCTCTTTGTGGCTTTGTTTAGTAAATACATTATCTCCTTACTAATGGAATTAGGATCAGCACGTACTATACTGTGACTACTGGGCCGTCACAACAATTGAGTTGGGCTCTTGACTACGCCCCAGGATGACACTCCATAATTTTAGAGCGCGGCTCTTAGGCACCCGTTTCCGCGTTTCGCGGAGTGGGCGTCGGCGTAACCGCGCTAAATTTAACTGTAAAATTGCAGTGTCGTGACCTCAACAGCAATTAAATTCCCCAGTAAATTTATCGGACAGAAGAATCGGTGTAGAGGTCATGAGAGGTCAATTTTCCCGCTAAAGGTAGGGAGAAAATTAATTTACTTATAGGTGACGTGAGGACGAATTATGTGATGTCATTTTGCACGCTGGACTTAACAGGAAACTGCATTGAGGGAGGAAGGTAGAGGAGGTGCTGTAAAAGGAGGAGGAGGAGGGGCATACCCTCCCCTCCTCCTTAACAGCTGCGCCCTAATTTCGCATTACAGAAATTCGTAAACGTCTTCCATTCTTGTTTATATAAAACTACTCTGTCGTTTGGTATCACGCAGGCCATTTTGAGAGTCGGTGACGGCAATATATAAAAAAAAAAGTTAAAGAAGGGGCAAAAAAACGTTGGGGAGACAAGTTTTGCATTAAAAACGTTTGTCTGCGATTCGCGGCTGACAACGCCACCGATACAAGGAGAGGCCCGTACACTCTACATTGCTAACAGAAAAAATGCGCAGCCACATCCTTTGCGCGACGTCATAGCAACTCGATGCGCTGATCTGTCGGCAATGTCAAGAACAAGATGACCTATCGGTGGCACCGAATCAGTTTTTCGACACTGTAGTAGTGAAAAAGTAGTGACGTTTTGCGTCGGGTGAGGAGCGAATGGAGACGGAGTATGCTCTGTATTATTTTTGCAAACTTGAGTTTTGGATGAACTTATTTTAGAGCGCAGCTCTTAGGCGCCCGTTTCCGGGTTGAGCCGCGTCGCCGTCGCCATCATCGTCGCCGTCGGCGTAACCGCGCGTCGCATTATGTGACGTCTCCCATAATGACTTCACATTTGACGTCATGTGCGACGTCACAAGGGTAAAATTTTCCCGCTAAATTCGCCGGTAACATTTGCCGCTAAATAAATCAGGAAAAGATTTTTGCTACATTTAGGAATAAAATTTCCTTGCTAAATTTAGCGAAAAAAATGTCCCTCCAATTTTGGCGGGACAATTTCTCCGCTAAACTTAGCGGAACAATTTTCCGTCAGATTTAGTGGCAAGAATTTTACCCTCGTGACGTCACACGTGACACCACTGAACCCGGTAAACTTTTTCTGCTAAATGGCTCCGCCAAATTTAGCGTGTAAATTGACGTCACGAGACCTCAACACCAATTCAGCTTCCCCGCTAAATTTTGCGGGGAACGTTTCGCTTAATTTTCGCTACATTTAGTGAGAAAATGTTGGAAAATTTTCCGCTTAATTAGAGGGGAGCAGGAGAGGAGGAGGGGAGGGTACGGAAAAGGAGGAGGGGCATACCCTCCCCTACGTACCCTCCACTTCTCCTCAAGAGCTGCGCTCTATCTCGGCACTACAGAGAGTTATAAACGTCTTTGATTTTTTTAGAGCGCAGCTCTTAGGCGCCCGTTTCCGCCTTGAGCGACGTCGCCGTCGCAGTCTTCGTTGCCGTCAGCTTAACCACGCATTGCATTAGGGGACATTTTCCATAATGACGTCACAAGGGTCGCGAGTGACGTCACGAGGGAGGAGGGAAGGAGGGAGAGGAGGAGGGGAGGAGGAGGAGGGGAGCAGAATGATAGGAGGAGTACGAGAGGAAGGAGGATGGGCATACTCTCTTCACCGTACCCTCCCCTCGTCCTCCTCAAGAGCTGCGCTCTAATTCGGCAAAACAGGCCATCGTAAACGTCTTTCATTTTTAATTAAGTCTAGGTGTTGCACATCTTCCGTTAGCTGTACATTTTACGTGCCTCTCCTCAACGACAATAATATTTGCATAATTTTTTAAAACAATTTCAGCACTACATAACATTTCTCCGTTATAGAAAAAATAGAGTTGTTTTCACCACCTTTTTTTTGCGAGATAATATTGCACGCTAGCCAATTGACAAATCAGGCAATGGCTCTCTCGTACGTTAATGCAGCTCAACACCTGCTGCGTAAACCACTGTAATACCAGACACAAATAGCATTGTGTCCAAAGTCATGTCTAAACTCAGACTTGAACTTTCTTTAGTCGTTTCACTTGACGTATTCAACAGATCGGCCGCGGTTTTGATGCTCCGAGCGTAGCTCGAGCTACGCTCGGAGCTCCAATGTCCTCCACTGGGCCATGACAGGTGCCAAGGACACCTGTCATGGCCCACTGGAGGACTGTGGATTACTTTCGGCAACCTGCGGAGTTTTTGACATACAACAGAAATCTGGGTAGCAGAGCGCCTTTTAAGCTCCGGGCGGGCGTCTAGGTCGCTATTCGAACGCGGCCCCTGTGAGGCCGCAGGCCAGAACTTTGCCTCGAGGCGACCGAGGCGGCTACGTTTAACCTGGCGGACTATTCCCATAGGAGTTTTGTTCAATCGGAACCGATTGAACAGCCCAGCGCTATGGTTTGATGTAAAGGTGAGTGCAAGACCAACATTACGAAATTATGGCTCTTTGTTTGCCTGCAGCTAATATTAGGTGGGGCTACAGAGGCAATAAATTATTGTTAGTTTGTCTCGGCTGTATATGTAGTAAGAGATGCTAAAAAAACAGAAACTTTTGGTTTAGTTACTATGTTATCTTGTATTCGCGTTAGCTTAATAATGAATTTCGGCTATACACAAACACTGCTCTGGCAATAACATATTACGAGTCGTCGATAAGTTTTTGAACATAAATCTGCATAATTACGAGCTGATTGCGTTAAAAAGCACGAAAAGTCCTAAGGCAGTTAATTGGATTATTGTTTATCCCCGGAACGTGCAGCGGATGCTTATAGCCTCGGGCACGTATCTTTATTTTTAACCAGACACGCGCTTGGGCTGCGAAAAAAAAGAAAAACGTACAATGCATTACTCTATGGAAAGATAGACAATTCTCGCATGATTATAATTGATGCACGGGTTTCATCAACGTCGAAGCAACGCTGTGCGTGCGTTAAGCTACCTAATGGCAGCATCGTATGCTCTTCGATGGAGTGATGTACCCGCAGATAAGCGAGCATTTGTTTAATCGTATTCGGGTGATGCCTGCATAAATGGGTGTAGGTAAACACGGTGTTTTTTCTCGGCCGACATAGTTGGACGTGACAAAAAGAAGGTTAACAAAACATAGAATGGAATGACAAAATACTCTAACGAAGTTTTAATAATTATAAAGCAAAGTT